GTCGCTAAAAGTTGTGTCTAATTTCAAAATTCGTAATCAAAACTTTTGGTAACAAGATACAGTTTCGTTGCTATAAGGTACTTTTGGCGACGAAATTTAATTTTGTTGTCAAAAGTACCCTATAGCGATGAAATTGCATTTTGTCACAAAAAACTTTTGACTAAAAATTTTTAAATTAGACAAACTTTTGGCAATAAATTGCAATTTCTTCACCAAAAGTACCCTATGGGGACGAAATTGCAATTTGTCGTCAAAAGTTTTGCCTAAAAATTTGAAATTAGACAAACTTTTGGTGACAAATTCAAAAGTTGTTGCCAAAAGTACCCACTGGCAACGAATTCAAGATTTCGTTGCCAAAAGTTTAAGAAATGGCGGGAATTTTAATGCCCAATTATTTTCTTCGGGAACTTTTAGCGACGAAATTTGGATTTGTCGCCAAAAGTTCCGATTAAATTAAGATTTTTTATTCATAACTTTTGGTGACGAAACCGTGAACTCGTCGCCATGGCAACGAATTCAAGGTTTCGTCACCAAAAGTTTTGAGAATGGCGGGAATTTTGCCGCCCAATTTTTTAGGAACTTTTGATGACGAAATTTAGGTTCGTCACCAAAAGTTTCGATTAAACATTTTCTATTCATAACTTTTGGCGACGAAAATTTGAATTCGTGGCCATAAGATACTTTTGGCGACGAATTCAAGGTTTCGTCGCTAAAAGTTTTGAGAAATTGCGGGATTTTTACCTGTCCAATTTTTTTGGAGAAACTTAAGGCGACGAAATTAAGGGTTTTCCACAACGAAGTTTTATTTCGTCGCCATAGATCTCAATTTAACCTCACCCTCTTCATTTCCCTTTTATTTTTACTTGTTTTCTTCCTCCCTCTCCCTCCCTCACAACCACCGCCTCAGTCGTCACCATTCCATCCTTCTGCCTTTACCGATCCCTCTCCCTCCCTCCACCGCCTCTATCGTCACCGTTCCCTCCTTCCATTGTCAGCACTGTCTCTCCCTCCCTCCGTCGGTCGTGGATGTATCCTCTCTCTCTTTTGTTCTCATCCCTCACCACCACTCTTCTTTTACTTATTATGAGGTATTAATCCATACTTGTTTTTTGTTTTTTTTTTCAAGTAATTTCAGTATATATCTTGAAATCATAGGATGCCACCGCTATACTATCGTCACTGTTTCACTTTGTCGTGTCTGTCCGTTGTTCTTCGTCGGTAAAATTCTAAAACTTGTTYCCTCTCTTTCTCTATGTTGTTACACACTCAAATTCAAATTAATGTTATTTTTAAACTAGTCATTCATTTTGTAATTTAATAAATGTTTGTTTTCAAATTAATGTCGTTTCTTGTACATTTTTTAAGTTTTCATGTCTTTAATTCTCTTTGTTTGATGTCTCTAACTTATTTTCTTACTTTGTGAAGATAAAATAATTGGTTAATGGATTCTTGTATTAAATTTTCATGTCTTTAATTCTGTTTTTCAGGTTGTTTTGATTTTTCTTCTCGTAAACTTTGGAAATTAGAGGAGATTTCATGAAGCCAAGAAGATGATGATTTTTATATTAGGTTTAGATTTACTTTTAGTCGAAATTTAGCTTTTATTATGTATTTGATTTTCTATACTATACCGATTATAAAAATTATTTGTTGTTTAATATAAATCAAAGTTTATATGATATTTTTGAATGCATGTTTATGAAGTTTAATTTAAAGTTTTTAAAGAAATATTTAGTGACAAAGTTTAAGAAGAAAAAAGAGGAGAAAATAAGAATTAAAAAAAAATTGACGCAGAGAAAATTGTTAAATATGTTTATCTATGGCGACGAATTTCAAATTTCGTCACCAAAAGTCTATGGAGACGAAATTTTTTTCGTCGCCATAGGCGCTTTTGGCGACGAAATCATTTTCGTTGCCATAGACTTTAGGCGACGAAAATGAATTTGTCACCAAAGATCTATCGCAACGGGGCAACGGCGACGACTTTTTGTCGTCGTCAAAACCTTTTGACAACGATTTTCTAACCTTTAGCGACAAATTTCTTCGTCGCCAAATCTTGAGATTCTTGCAGTGTAAGTCCAACATATTACCACAAAGTTCATACTTGAAATTCATTCAAATTTTAATTTATCACATATTCATTCATATTTCTTATTAGCTCCCCTGTTGGGATCAATAAAAAAGGAATAAGTAAGAAAAATAAATAAGAAACATGAAAGCTCCGTTTTTTAAGCAATTTAACACCTCCTTAATAAAGGATAAAAAGACATTTAGCACAAGTTTTAAAAAGCTCCCTCTATCATGATGTTTTCTAAAAAAAATTAGCAAGAAAAAATCAATAGGCAAGTATTATAAGCAATTCTATATAAAACTTACTTCATAAATAACTACTCCCTTTAAAGAGATAAACTATATGCATAAGATGAGTAAGGTTATATCATATCTCAAAAGCTTTAAAATAAACACATTTATCCTTTTCATCTTTGTCAAGCTTAATGGTGGTAGTTATGGGAGTTTTTTTGCAGTTTTAGATTTGTTGAACTTGAACATTTTAGTTCTCCAGTACTAATTTCAAATTCATTAGGCACTTAGAAAATACTCAGAAATTCTTCACATAAGAAGGGATACATAATAAAAAGTAATATGAGAAATTAATATCTTTAGGATAAAAGGTTCACATATAAATGATACAACTGTTGGTTCGAATTATGTTACCAATTTATATATGTCCAAATATTATATGTTTCACTGTTTAATCTCTTGATTGTCATCTAGAATGATCTCGTATGATGCGTGATTGACTTACCAGTATTTTTGGACATTGAAAAGTTGAAAGGGTATAGCAAGGGGAGTCAATATGTTGAGTTATGAGATGTTCAGCGCGATTTAGATATCAGTTTTATGCTTGGATTCTTTGGTTATTAACTAGTTTTGTTTGCTTGAGGACAAGCAAAAAGCTAAGTTTTGGGGGTATTTTGATAGTGTACTTTATAAACCACATTTCATGACATTTAGGTGGGAATTATTTGGTAATTTTCGATTATTTATGGCTTATTTACGTACATAGCTAATGTTTTTACCGAATCGAGGCATTAGAAAGAATTGGAGCATAAACGATCAATTGAGAGGAAAACTAGAGTAAAACGGAGAGCTTACTTCAGCCACATCAGCGTTGCAGTGCCATCATACAATGCCATCGCGCCTGCAGGTCAGAATTTTGGAGCAAAATTCCGAAGAAGCAGCGCCTGTAGACGAAGCTTGAGCCTTTTTCGATGACGACAGCACCGCAACGCTGTCTTGTAGCGCCATGGCGCTACAAACTTTGTGCGTTCGTCACAATTCTGGGACAGCGTCATGGCGCTCACTAATGGCGCCATGGCGCTGTAGTGATGTCCTTTCATAAATAAAAGATTAGTACGTCGTTTTAGGGACCTTTGGACAGCCTTACATTGAGAAATTGAAGTTTTGAGAGAATTTGTTTGAGAGTTCACGCAAGGAGGGTGAGGAGACTATTTTGGAAGGCTTGTAATCGTGGAGATTGAGTCAGGGACGGTCATTCGACACAACGACTTTAGTTTCCCTCATTTCCCTTTATCTTTCCTAGATTTATTATGAAATTCTTAGTGGGATTTTGTTGTATTTTCATGAACATGAGCACCTAAATTTCTCATCCTAGGGATTGATGTAGCCGCTGAATTTATGAGTCGGATTTATTAATAGCTGTCTTGATTGATTTGTACTTAATCTATTTGTGCATTTATTTGCTTAATGTCTTTAATCTCTTGATCACAAGTTAATTGATGCTAAATCTGAATCTTACGTTCSGGAGAGGTGGTTTAGGTTGGAACTTGAATGCATGACTGGGATAGTTCTAAGATTGGGAGATTTAGAATTACTCTAGAGGTTGTTAAAATAATAAGACTTAAGGCTTGCTTGTTAATCAAACTAAATAGGGATATTGGTTTCTTAATGAGTGGGAGAATTAATTTTGCTCGGGAGAGATATTTATGATTCATAATTTCTTGACTTATAGATTAATTGCATATTCAATCTTGGCATGTTTAATTTGTTTGCTTTTCTAGATCTTTGGTGAAATCACTTCCTTAGGACCCGTTCTCCATAAAAGTTTTCCTTAGAGTCTTTTAATCGCTTTGTTATTTGATTTTTGTGTTTCAAAATAAATCCCTTATTGTTTCTCTGGATAAAATTAGACATTAATATCTGTAGTATTTGAGTGACTAGAAAACCAATCCAGTGGATGATATCGGTAATTACTTACCATTTTTATTAAAACTTGACCGTACACTTGCGGTAAGTATTTTTTGCTACACAGATTTATAACAATTTTAAACCTTCAAATTCACCAATTCAAGACATGATTTACCCAACACCCCTTTCTACGTTTCCATCAAAATATTGAACCCCTACCAAAATTCATGTTTTTCTAACTAACCTTACTCGACCTATCATGAATGTCATTTGCCACATCTACAAATAAGTTACCCGGTTAGATATCTATTACTCCTCACTAATGACTAAGAGTGTAAATCGATTCGAGTTTGGAGAGAAAAAATGCAAGATTTAACCAGTTTAGTTTTGTAGAGAAAGAAACTGATATATCGAACCGAATCGGTTCGATTTTTCGTTAGCTTGTCTTCTAGTTAACTTAAAATAGACAATCGAACCACACCGGTAAAAATTAAGCTSATTAAACAAACTTGGTTCGGTTCGGTTCAGTTTAGTTTGATTACTTACACCCCTACTGCTCACAAACACATCTTATAAGTATTAATATCAACATAGGAAGAACAATAACAAAACTTTTCAAAAACTTGTAGGGATCAAATTAAAACTAAAACTTTTGAAAACTATGTACCGGGATAGGCCGAGACATCACGAATGACGTGAGGTAAGTCGAAGTTGATGCCTTCTATCGAAGGGTATTTAGAAGYGATGATTTGGAGAGTGACCCCTAGACCACCACCAACATCGACTAGTTGCTAATTGAGATTTGCAAAGTCTTTGTAGGACTCAACAATCTTCTTAATGCCCATTGTGGTTTCATTGAGCATTRTAGTGTTGAAAACTTTGTTAAATCTTGTATCTAAGCCAGGGTACTCAAAGGCATGTACTCCACCATGAGCCCTATTGAAAGCAACTCCTCCTTCAATAACTGCATTCTTCAACTCACTCCTAAAAATTTTGATTTTGATTTCATATTCTTTTGTCAAATCATTTTGTTTTAGTTTTAGATTTTTTAAAATTAAGCTTAAAAATACTACTTTCATCTATGTCTCTTTTTGTTATCTAGTTTTTTGAAATAGTTGGTAAAATCTCAGCCAACTTTTAATAACTAATAAAAGTAATTTTCAAACACGTATTTTTGTTTTGATCTATACACGTTTAATTAGTGCATTTTAGTCAATAACTTTGTCAAATATTATGTTTTAGTCTCCAAGTACTGCAACAAAAAGTTACTAATCTTAGTTTTTTCTCGTTTATTTTTCATTAATCTTTTAAYAAAAAAAAAWTTATATTTTGAAACTTGATACTTTACCTACTACACTATGATCTTTAAGTACTTGTACAATTCAAATATTTACTCAACAAACAAATAAACAAACGATGGTTCTATTAAACATTTATCAGAAAACTAACAATAAGGAGTAGAATAACTTCTTTTCTTTTATGCAATGTTCAAAAACTACAATAAAGGTTTGAAAGGTGTGGAATAAAAATAYAATAGAGATATGAGAGKTTCTTGTACCAAAATAAAATTAATTAAAGCATAGTTTCATTTTTTCTTTTGAAAAAGGAGGGAAAAAAAACTATAGTTTCATTTGATGAACTCTATAACCCAGAGATTATATACAAAACATTCAAAGTTGATACGTTTAAACCCAGTTTTGGTTGCGAGTGCTTTGAATTCATCTCGAGTTCGCTCTTTYCCCCCTGGATTTTGAGTCATCATAAGCACATCGCCTTGGGTAATGGATTTCATTGTAATCGTAGTCTCGATCACCAATGGAACCACTGCATCCACTGCAATTACCTTCCCATCATTTGGAATTGCAGCATAACAATTCTTCAAYAACTTCACGCAGTGTTCATCACTCCAATCATGAAGTATCCACTATAACAATTTTCATGGAAAAAAAAGTAATRTTAACATGGGTGAATCAACGCATACAAGCAATGSATTTATCAAATTCAAAATGGATTCGAATGCATAAATGCTCCGATGTGATTAATTTTTTTGTAAGGATATTGAATAGTTACAGGCAAACGATTTGTGATCAGACAAATATTGCAAAGACCCGTATCTAGTAACGTAAATACTTAAATCCAATCAGGAAAATACATTATTAGTTTAACTACAATAATGCTTAAAGCAGACCACAAAAATTTAAAAGAAAATTAATTAAATGATAGTATTAACTTTTACCGGTTTAGAGTTTGTGAGTTGAGAATAGGAATTAAAAAAAAAAAAAAACTTCCCTTGTTTGTTTATTTAGTTTAAAATGAGAATCGTTTACTATTTTCTATTTTCCGTTTATTGACTTCTAGGTGTTGTTTCTCAATTTGTTTAGAATTAGAAAAATAAATATATTATTTCTTGTTTCTCGAAAAAAAAGGAAATAAAAGAAAATATATGTTCGATAACTATTTCCCATTTCTTGTTGAGATGAGATTCAAACTCATAACCTCGTATATATTCTTAATTCATGTTTACTCATTTTTATTTATAATTAAAATAAAATAATATAATTCATTAAAGAAACTTCAACCCACATGTACTAAAAAAAATAAAATCTAAAAATAAAAAATACTAAAAAAATTTGTGTACAATGGAGGTTGAACCTTGGAAGCGAAGAGATAATACTAATAGAACATAGATTACGCAGGTGATACCAAACCAAAGTTCACATCATAATATATAACATTTAACCTTTAGATTTAACTTTTCTTAAAACATTTTTTCAAAATTTAGAAACGAGAAACGGGATGGGTTAACAAACATATCTATTTTCCCAAAAATAAGAAATAAGAAGTAACAGTAACGTTACCAAACGGCCCCGTAGTTATTTTTGATCTCTTTCTTTTATACATTTTTCCCCTTTAATACAATTATTTAACAACATAGAAGTAACTCGAATTTTGTAAAATATTAGATTCATTCTTTCT